AGACGGTGAGTGTGGCTCCCCTGCGTCCCAGCCGGTCCCTACAAAGGTAAACTCAACGTTAGAGGCGAGGGGACACGGTCGTGTTTTGTCCCTGTTGTACTTCTTCAGTGCTTACAGTTGACTGGAAAAACAATACTTTAGGACCCAAGGTCTTCTGAAGTCTCAACAGCGAAGACTGGATCAGTAGGCAGATTCAGAGAGGAAAACGAAGAAATACAATCGCACTCCTTGGCTACATAAACTTTCCGTGCTTAAAGAATCTGAGTAAACCCAACATACTAATAAAATGTGTTAAAAAAATATAGTATTGGTTTTGCTAACATTGTTGGGTTTTTAGTTTTCCACGTAAAACATGTCACTTTGTATTTCTTAATTTTTTACATCTTCCTTTTCAGATCTTTACAGCTAACACAGGTAAATCTTCAAATCTTGGTTTTGCCTGCTTATTTTTGAATGGGTCTGAAGGGAACACACGGATGTGATTTCTACTAAAGCATTCTGTAAGTTCTTGCAGCTTTATAAACAAAAAATTGTTTTCAGGTTTGACTCAGCTTTAACAAAATCTATGTTGCTATCTTTATAAATTTGAAACCTGAATTTTAGGAGGTCCAATACTGTCATACACTCACACAAATATGCTGACAGACTACTTAGGCAGTGATACTAGCATGGACCAGGGAGAACACTCAGCTGCACAAATTGAGCTGTTCATTATCTGCACATAACTGTGCTACAAATAGGATTCAGACTGTCTCATATTTGCACCCAGTTAATTGCTGTATCTTTTAATAAAAATAAAGAACACCCTCCCAAAAAAAAAACAAAACAGGAGCATAATCTCTTAAGTGCAAGCATTTCCAATGTTTTAGAACATTTTATACTTTCTTCTGTCTCATATTTTATGCCTACAGATCCTGTTGCCTTAAATGTGAATACTGATTAGCTTAAAAAAAAGAAATGCAAGATTACAAGAAATGCTCTCAGAATTCAGCTGTTCTCTGGTGATAGTACACATTTTTTTGCGTATACTGCACTGTCAAGTGTTTTAAACGATTAATCTTTACAGACATGGTGTTACGGTGTCTGGACATTTATTGTGGCATATTGTTCTCATGATTGGCAAAACATGCGCTAGATCATATTCATGGGTGGAATACTGCTGACATTGCTTGTATATTCACATATAGATTATACCCAGTCTTTTTAAAAATAATTAGACTACAGCATTATGAGGATTTTAAGGAAAATAGCTATCATCACAACATGATATTATAGGAGCAAACAGCAAGTCTTACGACAACTAATGGGTTACAAGAGTGAAGGAGGGAAATAGCACTCCCAGTTCTGTGGAATGCCTATAATCTTAAAATTAAGTCACAGAGATGCTTGGTAAGACACTGAAAAATCTTCTTGTCAGGACTTGACTAAATTCAGGAATGGCAGAAATGGGTTTTTTTGATAATTACTTTCTTTTTTTTAGGTTTCTCTGTGTCTATATACGATGTGACCTCACGAAGCATTTATGTCAGATGGCCTAAGTTTTCAGGAGCCTCTTCTTACAGAGTCACAGCTACGGCTGTGAATACTGTAGGCCATTCATTACTGGCTCATTTTAGTGATGTGACACTTAAAGGAACTCTATCTTCATTAATTCCCAATACTGTTTATGCTATACAAGCAGAAGCAATTGACAAGAATGGAATCATTCTTGCAGAAACACAAATTATGCAGTCAACAGGTTAGTAAGAGAAACTTTGTGAAGTGTAACTTCCACTGTTACGGGAGGGCTGGGATTTTATCCTTCCTGTTTCATTGTACAGGCAGGGAATAGCTACCGTTCCTGTTGAAGCCTTTTGCTAGTTCTCTTACTGAGTTCGATATTAGCCTATTTCCCTTCTGCTTTTTTTTTCATATATATATGTTTTCCCGACCTGCCATGCACAGCTTGCTCAGATTGCAAAGCAGTATTTTTGTTTTGTTCAGAAGGACTTTTAGTGTGTAAATCATTGAAGAAGGATCTACATCTACAGAAGCGCTTCTTTATTTAACCGCTGAAATGTAATTGAAAAAATACTCTGTTGAAATTCTGGTTTTAAAATAATTTAACTGATAATTTTTAGAAATAGCCATTATTTATAAATAGCCATTATTTTTCCAGTAGAAATCATTTCTTATAAAAGTAATTACAATTAAAATTGTAAGTACAATAAAAAATTACAAAAAATTTACAAGACAAATTGTAATTACAATAAAAATAAAACTAATTACAATAAAAACTGAAAATAAAAAAGTACTGGTAAGTATGAAGAAAGCTCTATTGTTAGCTTAGTTATGGGAGAACAGAGATTAAGGATTAATGTCCTGTAATTGATTTCTGATGTGAATCATGTACTATATATTCTCTACTTGACAAGGCAAGCAACTCCCTTAGACTTATGTAAGGTTTTCATTACAGACTTTTATGAATTGTTGCTAAAGAGAATATTTTGAAAGAAAAAAAATCATAGTGCAATAGGTTGCTCAAAGATCACGAAAGACACACCTGCAAACATTCCATAGGCATGATCATATAGAATATATATGTTAGCATTTTTAGAAATGAGACAAAAGAGGGTGTCTGACTAGAGCTGAATAAGAAAAGGCAGACATACTGCTTGGGAGTTGTCTAACTGTGTATAGTACTTGCTAGGGTCTCTGAAATCCCAAACGACCTGCCTTGCTGTAAGTAAGTTTGCCTTAATGTGGATACTTTGGTCTTGAATACTTTTTTGTTCCTTCTCTTAATTTTAGGGGGATACATCTTCATTTTATCTCTTTTTTCCTCTTCTAGTGAGTTTTTTTCAGCCATGCAATATATGGACTTGCTTTATGTAGCCAGGTTCTAGTCTGAAAATCCTGGTTATTGAGTCTTGATTGTGGTTAAGAAATAGACGCTCTGTATTTGCTTTTGTGACGACAGTGCACAAAAGCAGTACACAAGAGCTCTTTCTGAATGGCCTACAGCATAGCATAATAGAAAAGCAATTAATTGTAATATTTGATGTGTCATGTTATTGTATATAACATCCAGTATAGTTAATTGGCTACAGAGAAAGACCAAAAAGAGATCTCTTAGCGCAACATAGGTTAAATAATGGACATTTTCAATGGTGATTGAAAGGGCACTAGAATATTTTTACTGAAAGATGGAAGTTGGGCTAGAATATCTCAAGACTCTGTGTATTTTGTTAACATTCATTTAAAGTGAATGCCATTTTGTCCTACATTTGTCTTTGTGAAACTTGGGACTACTTCACGCTTCACAGGGCTGAGTTGCCCAACTTTAGTATGTCTATGGTTATTTCCATTCCAGCTCCAGACGTACCCGTTATTGACCAGGCTTATTCAAAACTTAGCAACAGCATCACAGTGGAGTGGAGAGCGGTACCTGGGGCTACCAGTTACCTGCTGACTGCACAAGACGGAAATTCCTTCATTGAAACTGTAGTTAGAAATTCTCCAGGCACAGTCACAGGACTGAAACCTGCCACCTTGTACAGAATCACTATCAGATCTGTAAATTCAGGAGGAAAAAGCCAGCCTTCGCCTTTTCGAAAAGCAAAAACAGGTGGACTTTCAAATTCTTATCTGTATTTCAAGTTCTGTAATCTTATTATAAGATA